TTGAAACTGTGAATTTCATGTTTCACCTATAAATTTTAACTTCCCTTCAATTTTTCTGTTTCTTCAAGAAATTAATAGAAATATTCCCATACCTGATCAATGAACTTTTTTCGTTCTTTGATACACCATCAGTTGGGCCTGATTCCGTTGCTTTGCTGTAAACTTATTGAAGCAATACAAAAAGTACTTTCCCCCATTATCCCATGCTATAGAATTCAGGTTTTATTGCTAATTTCCATTGCGTCGGATGAAATTTATCAGCAATTGTCGTATACAATTTTCAAGGTTTCAACGAATTTATCATAATACCCATTGAATCTTTTAATTTCATTGATTTGATCAAAAGCTATCGATGATAACATATCCATAATAACCTTCGTTATCCTTGCAGTTGGACTAGCAATTGGAAATTCGGTGCCAGCAGAAGATTTACGTTGACATGAGAAATTTTTCAAAAAGACAATTGTTCGTAGATTTACATTGGTAATGTTGTGAGGAATTTTTCCTGGTGTTTGATAAACTTTTCGCCCCCGTGTCATCTGTCAAATAGGAAATTCCTCCCTCTGAATGATTCAACGACTCTCTTCATTCAGCCCACGTATCCAAAAGTTGCTGTTTACATATTCTACATTGTCATTAATAATTGAGAAGTCGAAAGTTGGTAATGTCGCTGTGTTGGTACTATCCTTTGAAGAAATTTCGAGTGATATCGAGGGAGATGGTTCTTTTTGTATAGATGATTGTGAAGCCCTGAGCATCCCTCAAATCAATCCAGATGCTCAGACGAGTTATTTGAAAATGATGCTCTCGAGAGAGATTCGGGGGGACACTCGAGACGTAATACTATACAAGAAACACGTCTCCAGTTTCAAATGTAATTTTAAAAAATCGAACTACTGATTGATATATTTATCCACTTTTTCAAATTCTTTCTTTATTGTAAAATCCATGCTCCCTCTCCAATCTTTTTTCTTCAATTCATGCTCATTTTCCTTGATGCTACATGAATGATAATAATAATTATTATAATATTCTAGGTGAACCGAAATTTCACCAATTTGACAGTGGAAAATGGATGGAAATTCCGTGGAATTTCTAAAAAATTCAGAGGAATCGACAATGTAATGTTTTAGAAATTTTCAAGGCTCACTAAATATTCCAGGGGAAAATTGTTACCAGGGAATGAAACTGGAGGACCTAATGAAAAAAAAAATAAAAATAGATTCAAGCTGCAGGTCGACTTGGGCAAAGGATAGGGAAGGTAATCTGTCCCTTTTTCCGGGGAGAAAATTGCTCCATTAGTCCGGCAAATGTGATACGCTCGATCGCCAACAGCTCTCGCTTCGTCGGACCTTTCCTCGAAGATCAAAGGGTATCGACAGCCCTTCGTTCCAATGTCCAACATTTGATCTTCTTCCCCCATGCCATTCTCACAAATACGCGTTAATAACGTGGAAAAAAAAACGTGACGCATAGAATAACATTTATCGCTAAATTTACCTTGTGCTTCGGTATTTTTATTAATTTTATGCGTTTGTTACAAATTTCCAAGTGGATTCTTTCGCAATGTACTCGACATCTCGTCACAAATTTCAATCGAATAACCTTTCACGTGCGTTGCGCTCTGTCAAAAATAAATCCAACCCCCAGGGGATAAAAACGGAAAAAGAGACTGAGAAAAATGGTGGGGACAATTTGAAGGGGGCATGAGTGTCAAGTAAATTGTATGCAATATTCCCTGGTGAAAAAAAAAATTCGCAAGAAAAATACACACACAAAAGGGCTGTGGGATCAGGCAAAAACGTGAAACTCGAGACCGCTGAGGGAGTCATTCGATACTCGATGGTAAGCAAAGTGATCCCTTATGGGATACGTTACCGTGACGCTTCAGGCTTTATTTTCATTTTTTTTTCATTCCAGTGGAGGGCGAGGTGCCTCCTTTCGAATTTTTGTCCTCTCCCGCGGTTCCCTGGATTATCAGCTCACCCCGAAACTTCTTCATCGGTGAATAAATGGATGAAAAAACGAGGGGAGAATTCATGTTGTAACGATAAGTCTTGGTTTGACCCCTCGGGGTAGTACAGGACACTGAGTATATTCATAAACGATAAAGACTTTTTCCAAGGTTCGCTCTCGGTGAGTAGACCGATATTTTATGGTTTATGTGGTGATTTCATTTTCTATAAAAAAGAAACGCAAAGATTGATCAACGTTTTTACGTTTTACCGTAATACACTATCAAAATCAAAGCGAAAAATCGAAAATATTCAAGTCCACCGGGAGTAATTTAAAAAGAACTTATTCTCGATTGGCAAGAAGGGGAATCAATATAATCATATATCATAGGATATCAAAAAACAATTAAGAATAACAAAATGAGTCATGCTGATTCTAGAGGAGAGGTGCGAAGAAAAAGAACAGAACGTCTGAATTATTAAATAAAATCGAGAAAATCCATTATTTTTTATAATATATACTAATTCGGGACGTCTCACCCCCGAGAATTGATTATTAATAGAATAAAAAGAAATTAATACACTAAACTTAATGATAAAAAACGGATTTAAGAATATAGAAAAAATATTTAGTTGTTGATAAGAAATGACATTATAATTAATAATATAATCATTTCAAGAAGCTGAAAGATAATAGGAAATAATTAACAATGAGTTATTATAGTTAGTTAATAATTATTGATGCGATATTAATAATTGATTATTGTAAAAACAGGGAGTAGGTAAAAAAATAAAAGCACGCAACGTTGAATTTCACCATTATCTTTATGATATTGGCATTAAAAAATGTTTATTAATATGTATACTTTCCTTAAAACTCATTCGTCATACTCGTATTCCTCATTAGCGTAATAATCGTATTTATTAATATATAATAATTATTACCGTCACAATATATCTATAATATATATTATGTTCACAATTTTATTCATTATCATTACCATTTTTTTTTTACTTTTTCTTGCATATAGAGAGTAGTGTAATTAGTTACATAGTTAGAGGGTTGCGTAGATTTAGTAAAATCTGTCTCTTTCAATCTTTACGTGGTATCCACTAACATATAAAAGCGGTATAAAGCTCGTTCCTCACACGCTGTATTCTTCGTAGTACTTCCCAATTCAATTCAATTCGTTCTTCTACTCTGTTGGATTTAGTCTAAAGGAAACAATCGTTACAGTACACTTATGAGATTAAAAAAGAATCATCCGAAGAACAAATAAATGAGGAGATTAAGTCATTTGTTATGCGATCCGGCGCTATTTTCCGAGTCGTTTTTTTTTTCTAAGAGACGCTCTATTTCACTCATCTCTAGACGCTTTTTGTTTCATTCGTTAAAGCAATTTCTATAATTAAATGTCGTTGTGTTTGTAAATTGTCGGTGGGATTGCCGTACAAGCCAAAGTAATGTGGAAGAAATTAAAGTAATGACCACTTGTCCATACATCGAAGAGTTGAATAGTTCAATGCGTGGTAATGTTACGTCATACACGCTGATATACCATTTTTCATTCAATTTCTAATAGAAGCAATTTTTTTTCGCATTCATAGAGATCACTGGACGTTTGGCGGGCAAATAAATCAATCGTCCAACAATTGGCTTTATTTTTCCAACATCGTGCCAACGTCTTCTTTTTCATTCCCTCTCAGATGCAGGCCGATGGGAATTGTGTATTTTCTTTTATTTATTAATTAAGGAGGTTTGTCTCTGGTTGTGGAGGTGGATATCTTGAGCTTTGGGCTTTTATTCGTAGGGAATACTAGAGATTAACGCCCAGCGTTTATCTGTCTGTATTTTGTAACCATTTCTCCATTTTCGGGGGAGCCTCTGTGTTCACAGAAATCAAGTTATTTCGATATTTATTTTTAAACCAAGTTAGAATGATGGTCTGAATTCGAAAAGATTTTTTTTTATCTAGAAACTATTTTTTTTTATCATGAAGAAATAGTTTGTTTCTTTCGTAATATCATGAAATTTTTTTTTACTGATTTTTCACTGTGCATTCATTGATTTACAATAACTCCATTGAATCTAGATAAATTGAAATTTCCGGATATTTAATATTATCTAGAAAGTTTAATTTAGCTTTACACATTGGACCGAGAATTGTGGAATTATTTCTATTGGCTATAGCAACGAGTGCGTTGGGTGCGTTGAAATTCTCGTGTCTTCAATGATTTCACGTCGTCATTTTTACGACGCACTTCAGTGCTATGTAATTTACAACCCCAAGTATTTTTCTCCGCACTCTCAGCATTTCCCCTCACTCATGATTGCATTATTCTCGTACTTTCTCGTATTTTAAAAGCCCATTCACTCACACCAGGACATTGTTGACCCCCACCGGCGAAAGGTACAGCGTAGTAGGTATCTAATAACCCGAGTTTTATTTTTCATTATTTCATTTTTCTATATTAGACTCTCGCCCCTTTCTCATCAAAAGCCAACCAAACAAATATAGTGCATACAATTACAATACCAATTCATTAAATATCAACTTTTATACTCTAACGATTGTAATAATAATTAATCAATTAATCATGTAATGACAATATTATTTTTTTCCATCGTAATAATGATAATTGAATAATGATAATAAGTATTAGTACGGATGAAATATAACACGCATACATCCCATGTTGTACCACAGCTTGTGTGTTTTTTTTTTCCTTTTTTACTATGAGTTCTATCATAATAATCATTAATTTCAGCTATTTTTAAAGTTGTTAAGTAAAAACTGGTAGAAATATTATTATTAATTATTTTTCGTAAAAATTCAGTTTGCAAAATTCCACAGATATTTCATTACGTATAATTGTAAATGTGCGTACGAAAGTGCTCCGTTATTCTCTTCCCTGGGTGAATAAACGTCGAGTTTTATCCGAAGCCGAGGCCCCTCGGGTGTCGACTTGACCGAAGCAGGACGAAGTTCGTGAAAAAATTCAAAGGGAGAACCGGTTTTTTTTTTCATGGCATCCACAGCGACTTCAATTCTCGCGATTAATTTTATCCTGTGGCACCGGTTCGATTATTCTACGATCATTCATTTTTGGTTCTGCCTTCGCCGTGCTCCAATGCTTCCCCCGGAGACCGTCGGCTTCAACTTGAATTTTTTTTTTAATCACAAGGTGAGCAACTTCGAAGCCAGACAACCACTTCGCTGTCCCTTAACTACATTACAACCTATCCGACTACTTTATTCCCCCCCGAGAGTGTCGATTTAGATAGATTCTTATCAAAAATATATCCTCGCTCTACTTCATTTATATTCTTTAAATTTTTCGTTTTTTCTTTTTTTTTTTCTTTTTTTGACATCGAGTCCAGCTCGTCCGAAGCTCGATTCTCAACACGGATACTCGAATTTTCAAAGCAACTCTTGAATATTCGAATATGGAGCATCGGATGTGCCAACTCTTCGTGTCGCCAATTTTATTATGAAATTTATTGGGAAATAAATGATATTTATGTAGAGAGAACTCGAAATGAAATCACTCGGGGACGGGGAAGTGTTGTCCTCGTATTCTCCACGTTTATTCATCCATAAATTTATCAAAAACTCGGCAATTCCGATATTTTTTTTCTTTTGGTTTTCATGTTTCTGTTATGTTTCTTGAGTCTTAGTTCAGCGAATGGTAATTTCGCAGGCAGTATTTGGATTCCTGAAAGTACCGGAGCTTTTGCTCCATTCATTGAGTTATCGTGATTAATAACGAGATGATGGGGGATTCTAGGTTCGATTAATGGGGAGGGGAGAGGATGCATGCGATGATAATGCACCTGAAATCAACGTTTTCTACGGTTTTACAGAATCCCTGACTATTCCACACCATTCCTCACGCCAGTCCCAACGCATCTACTTCAGCACTAAATACACCACGCGTACTAGTCAATTTCCTTTAAATATATAGAATTTTTTAAAACAAAAAAAGATTTTTTATCCGATAAAAAATAGATTTTATGCTTGGGAACTAATCACTTTTTTCCGACGATTTTTCCAATCGTAGAAAGAAATTTATCGGTTTCAGAAGTCATATTTCGCATTCGAGGGAACTTTTTCTGAAATGCTGCCATTTCCTTTCTAACATTATGAAATAAAAAGTATTTGTTTTATCATTTAGATTTATTTATACCTTCATAATGTTAACTAAATCGAATGGGGTATTGATTTATTGAAAAAGTCCTATACTTGCTTTCATTATGGAGCTTTTTGAAGAATGATAAAAATGAGTATGTAGTTTTGAGTGATAAAATTCCCAAAAATAAAAGGTATTTTTGTCTGTACTGAGACTACAACGAAGGGGCTTGACACCTTTGACAAGCAATGTCACCTATTCCTTTTTTGGCACCTGCCGGCATAAAATCTATGTGTTTTGTATAGCAGATGTAACAACACCTGTCGATGGCTATTGTTAGACATTCAGCGCCTAATGGCAGTTCAATAGATAAAATTGATAAATGCAGATACAATAATTGAGGTTTTCTCGTTAATCCTTGCATATCCCTTCATTAGTTCATTATTTAAATTTGTCCATCTGTTAATTAGTCAACTACACGAGTGGTACGTCTAGTTACCTCATTCTCTAGATTAGGTATAGGTAGTTCTCGTACCTTATAAATAATTTATTATATTCAATATAATTATAATTATCGTAATAATTCCTACACCAGAGAAAACATCATTAAAACCTTAATTCTTTATTCTTCATATTACTCTTTTCACTCTTTGCTTCAGCTTCTCAATAATAGTTAATACGTAATTTTTATTTCTTATTTTCAATCGATTTTATTCCCGTCTTGCGTTCGTATCCTTCCACTTAACTCCATTCCATTATATTATTCGTCCTTCCATATAATATTATTTATTAGAAAAATTTGTACTCTTATGGGGGAGGTATTGTAAGGGACACAGCTGCCTCTGCTCTGCTTTTATCTGTCTCTCATATCTCTGCCTTAATTCTTTTTCGTTTCACTCACGTCCTCTTCCTGTTCTCGGAACATCTTTTTTTTTCTTTCTTTTTCTCTACACTCCGCGTAATTGCTTTTTGCTCTCCGGATGTCAATTCCAGACACGACGATATTAGATTGGATATTATCGGAGAACACTGGTCTCCGGGTATAGATATATATTTTTGTATTTCGGTTTCGTTCGTCGAGAGCGTCCCTCACAGCAAAAAAAGAATTCCCGTGCGAAACTGGCAGCCTGCAGCCAGGTCTCCGTGGCAAAACGACCAATTCTTCACCCAGACATCAGAGACCCACCACTTTATTAAATAATTCAGCCGATTATACGCAAAAATTAAGGTTCTTGGCTGTACTAAAATTTGTCTTTGTATCCTCGTAATGCTTCCACTTTCTCCCCTTTTTCCCCTTTGGAGGTTGATGAAAACTCTCTGCTTGACAATCGAACCAAGAAAACAAAACCAAAAAACATTCCATTCAATTTAAATCTAAATTTTGCTTATCATTAATCTACTAATTCCTCCTGCATTTACAGATAAATAGTATATAATCCATAAAAATCCAAGAATTTTAGCAATTTCTTTGAGAATTCAAGGGAATTAAAAAATGACTATTCCCCTTCACTTGATATTGCCCAGACTTTCTGGAATAATAAGACATTTTTTTGAAACATATCGCCAAGAACCTTTTCCTCTGTGTTGAATGGTGACTTAGACCGTGAGTAAAGGTTAAACTTACAACAAAAACGAGATGGATGGAGCAAATAGATAAGACCATCGTAATTCGAAAGAGCTCTGGTGTCTGGCTTGTGGTGGTACGTCTTGTCATATATTTTTCGACTCTTTCCTTCGTCTTCAAACAAAACAGGGGTGGGGTAAACAAATGACTATTATCGATGGTGAAACGAGGACATCGACGATGATTATTAGATTGATAAAAGGACTTGCTTTAATTAATTAACAATTAAGAATTTATCGTGCATTCGAATAAGACACACACATAACACGCACACGGGCCACTACATCTCGAGCCAGTGTATCTGTGGTATTGCAGCAAAAATTTCATTAAACGATGATGATTCTAATTTTGAATTACGATTCAATGAGTCACAAATACACTTGGCTCGTTGACTAAGCTAGTGGGATGTGACGGTAATCATTTTACGTTTACTACGCCCTATGAATCTACGTATGTTTTAAATAATTAATACGACCAATTGCGATTAATACACATTGAAAATTCATGGTTAAATTGTTTTTTGTCTTGTTTTTTCTTCTCGCACGTGATGAAAACCGCTTTTGAGAAATTTATTATTCTTTGAATCTTTTCGTCTTTTTGCAGTCTATCGCCCATTGCCGCTCGAGTTCGTCGGGGAAAGCTCGTTCATCTCTCATTTTTTTTTTTTTTTATTATCGGTGATTATATCGCGGGAAATAACGAGCTTGCATCCTCGACGATCGCCTCGAGACTGAGTTGAGTTGTGAACAGTGAAACGCAGAGAGGCTATCACAATTATTGCTTTTGAATTTGTTTAGAAAGTCGGCAAAATTAAATGCTCGTTGAATTTTCCTGTTGATGAGAATTATTTCTGCACAGAGAGAAAAAGTTTTCTAACGTAAGAAAACGATTTCTCAATGGTCAATGTTATGAATTGTCTACATTAAATTTAAAAAAAATAGTCAATAAATTTTTAATGAATATGAAAATTAGTTTGATAATAAATATTCAGCCACTGAGGGCATTGAATACCTAATGAATATTCAATCTGCTGACCACGTCTCACTCTTCGAGCCCTCAATTACCTCACGAAATATCGAAATACTAATTAAATGTTTGCCCTAAAAAATTGTATAAAAATTCGCGTTGAGATATAATCTCGTTAATAATTACAATTAAGTGGAAAAAATTTTCTCGACTTATGCGTTAAACGTATCGCTTTGAATAGCACGAATGCCAATTAATGAATCGCGCAACTTGGACCACCGAATTGAGAAGATGTAAATAGGGCCAATTCCAATTAAAAGTTTTGAACGTTGGCATCTCGAGTTATTTCCAGTGCAGGCCCTGAGGACTGGCTCGTGCTTCACGAGGTGAGTTTAATTACACAGCGTGTGAAAATGGAATGAACTCGATGTGATGGTCCAGTTTACAGCCCCTCAGGTGGTGGATCTACTTAATAAGTTCGTTCTTAAGACTTAATGACTATGTGAACGACTTGCATTACCGATGGAGCGGCTTTTTCACGTTTTCGTTATTTAGTTTCTGAATAATTCTCTTCAGTTGTCCCCCGTTTGGTCCGCACTACCAGCATGATTTGCATTTTAAAAACACGTTTTTATCATTTTTTTTTTGTTTCATTATTTTTCGCAAGAGCTCCATTGGATTGCGCATTCCATGCCGTCCAATCGGTTTCTCCCGTGACTCTTTCAGCGTTCAATCGAAGAGACTTGAGTTTATAACTTTAGAATAGCGGTGGTTTATTCTTCAGAGGGTTGACGACAGCAAAGTATCTACTATTTTCATTAATTGTGAGTGACTTTTTTCATCGAATTCTCCAGTTGTTCATTTTTTAATTTTCTTCCTGTTAATGCAAATCGTTTTAAACTTTTCCTACAGCTACTGACTCGCCTTATTTCCTAAAATCTCACAATTTTAATTCAATTTCGAAACACATTATGTACTTTTCGCACTACAAAACGCCAATTCGTTAAAAAAATAGGGTACAAAAATTATTCTAGAGATTCATCTCTTAATTTAATTTTACGAAAATTTATTACTCCAATTTACAATTTATCTCTGACAAAAATTTGCGCGTTTTTCATTTTCACCCTTACTAACACAGCCGAATTAAAATGCCCGAAATTACGTTACTAATTAAATAGAAATTCCTAATTTAGAGATTTTCGTCGAAATTACGAGTTAAGCTAGAAGTAAATTACTACCCTTAGTCCGTAAAACCTCAAACTGGCCGAAACATTGAAAGAAAAAATCTATTCAGCGAGTTTAAGTTTAAATTATTTGCATTGTCACTGGAGTATTCCCACGAATTTCAAATACTCGCGAGGATAAAATCCCTTGATTGCCGTCTTTTTCCACTAGAATTCCTAATTCCCTAGAAGACGCCGTATTTCTAACTGTTACATTGAGAATGTGAATAAAATTGTTAAGGGAAGGGGTAGCACATCCACACGTCATTCAGACACTATTAGTCCTAATGAAATGGTAATGAAAACACAGGAGGGGAATGAGGTTTATTGGTATCATTAACACCTATTTTTCCACCTAGAAACCATTAAAATGTCTGTTTGATTTTAAATCTCCCTAAAACCGTACACAAACTTTCATTAGCATTAATATTCCACTGATTAAATACAAAAATTCAACGGAGAATGTCAAATTGTGAAAATTCTTCCAATGAAAAATTTCATCTCGACGTCTTCCTCTGATTTTTATACCCAATAAAGGAAACTTGGAGATAAATCAACCAGAACTAAGGAAATGTTATATCCATCAATAATCCATAAATGCAATAATGTCTGTGGTACATGAAACAACATCAATAAATACCGAGAACAACGGCTTGATACTAACGCAGAGAACTGATTAAAATGGAAACAATGTTTCACTAAGTAGCGAAGAGGTAAAACTTTTTTCAACAAATATCTCGAAACTGGGGCTGGGTATCAAATTTTTTTTGTATAACCTTTTATGTGGTGATAGTTGAGAACTACA